TTGTATCTTATTACAGCGTTTGTTTTAAAATCTATTTTGTCTTGATGTAATTATTGCTACCTCAGCTTTTTTTTTTTTTTTGCATTTACAAAAAAATATCTTTTTCCATTCCTTTACTTTCATTGTGTCTTTCAATCTGAAATAGGTCTCTTGTAGAGAGCATATGTATTGGATTATTTTATTGTCCACTCATATACCTTATGTCTTTCTTTTTAAATCTTCACCTGAGGATATTTTTTCCATTGCTCTTCAGACAGTGGAAGGGAGAGAAAGACAGAGAGAGAAGCATTGATGTGAGAGAGACACATCGACTAGTTGCCTCTCACACATGCCCTGACTGCGGCTGGGTATCGAGCCTGCAACCCAGGTGTGTGCCCCTGGCTGGAATAAAACCCAGGACCCTTCAGTCTACAGGCTGACGCTTTACAGGCTGGAGCTCCCTTGTAGGTAACTGCTTTTCTCTTGCTGATTTTAATATTCGTTGTCTTTAACCTTTGCCATTTTAAGTATAATGTGTCTTGGTGTTGGCTTCTTTGGGTTCATCTTGTTTGGGACTCTCTGCGCCTCCTGGACTTGTACGTTTATTTACTTCACCAGCTGAGGGAAGTTTTCGGTCATTATTTCTTCGAATAGGTTTGCAATCCCTTGCTCTCTCTCTCCTCCTTCCGATACTCCTATGATGCGAACATTATTCTTGATATTGTCCCAAAGACAGTATCATTTTTTAAAATGAAGATTTTAAAACAATTCTCATTTTTAAAATTCTATTTTCTTTTTGATATTCCAATTGGGTGTTTTCTGCTACCTTGTCTTCCAATCATTGATTCGATCCTCGGCTTCACCTATCTGCTACTGATTCCTTGTAGTGTATTCTTCATTTCAGTTATTGCATTCCTTATTTCTGACTGGTTCTTTTTTTTATGATTTCTATGTCCTTTTTTATGCTTACTATCTCTTTACTGATGTTCTAAGTTCCTTGATCATCCTTATATCCAGTGTTTTGAACTGTTATCTGGTAGACTGCTTACCTCCATTTTGTTTACTTGTCTCTCACTTTTCTCCTGTTCTTCCATTTGGAACATGATTCTTTGTCTCCTCATTTGGCTGTCTGTTTTTTTTTAAATCCTCACTCACGGATATTTTTTCCATTGGTTTTCAGAGAGAGTGGTGCAGGGGAGAGAGAGAGAGACAGACGGAGAGACAGAGAAAAACATCGATGTGAGAAAGACACATCAATTGGTTGCCTCTCGCATGCTCCCTGACCAGGGCTGGGGATCAAGCCTGCAGCTGTGGTACATGCCCTTGGCTGAATCGAACCTGGGACCCTGCAGTCCACAGGCCAACACTCTAACCCCTGACCCAAACTGGCTAGGGGTGTTTGTCTGTTTCTATGTATTAAATAGAACTGCTACATCTCTCATTCTTGGCAGAATGGCCTTATGTAGTAGGTGTCCCTGGCACCCAGTGGCTCAGTCTCCCTGATCACTTGAGGTGGGTGCTAGAGGAGTATCCTCTGTGTGTGTTGTGTGCGCCCTCCTTTTTTAATTGAGCCTTGATTGCTGTTGGCATGTCAGAGGGTAGGGTTAACCCTCAAGCTCACTGCCTGCGAGTACTGGCCATGACCACAGTGTACAACCTGCTGTGTAGGGGCTAACCCCACAGAGTAGGATTCTACCGAGCAGGGTCTGGTGTGTGCCAAGACCATCCTTTGGGTGTGCTTCTTGTAGACCTAATTAGGTGATGCTATGTTGTGGTCTGAAGCCATCCACAAAGTGTGTTGGTTCTAGGGCCTCTTGGGAGGGCTTACTGTTCAGGACAAGTTCAGCCTCTGCCTGTGACCAACCCAGTGCTACCGGTAGCACCTACAAAGTCATCCACAGTTGCTAACTACCTGTGGTGTGCCTGGAGACACATGGAAGAGGCCACACTGTGAGGCCATTGCTGCTACCAGTACCAAGCCTAGGGCCACTCAGCTAAAGACTCTGGGCATCCAGAGGCCTAAGGTCTACTTCTGCCTGCTGGCTGATGGCAAGGGTCAGCTGCTGAGTTTCCAGTGGGCCCTGGCCAGTGTGACTCAGTGGTTAGAGTGCAGGCCGTGAACCGAAGGGTCGCACGTTAGATTTCCAGTCAAGGGCACGTACCTTAGTTACAGGTTCGATCCCTGACCTTGGTCAGGGCTCAGGCAGGAGGCAAACAATCCATGTGTCTCTCTCACATCAATGTTTCTCTCTCTCTCTCCCCTCTCTCCCCCCCTCCCTCCCTTCCACTTTCTTTAAAAATCAATGAAAAGCCTGGCCAGGTGTGGCTCAGCAGTTGAGCATCGACCTAGGACCCAGGAGACAGGGGTTCGATTCCCAGTCAGGACACATGCCCAGGTTGCAGGCTAGGCAGCCAATCAATGACTCTCTCATCATTGATGTTTCTATCTCTCTCTCTCTCTCCCCCTCCTTTCCTCTCTCTGAAATCAATAAAGATATATTTTAAAAAAAAATCAATGAAAAAAATATCCTCACATGAGGATTAACAAAACTAAAGAAAGAAAAAAAAGAGAGTCTCAAGTAGTACACCAGTTAGGTGAGGCAGGGTCTCAGGGAGTTACCAGGGTAGTGCAAGTGGTGTTCAGGTTAATGCAGATTCAAATTTTGTGTCAGTGCTGAGCCTGGAACCAGTCAGCAAAAGGAAGAGGGTACACTGATGCCAGCCACCACACACCTGGGGCCAGCAGACTTTTCAGGTTTTTAAAAAAAATATGGAATGCTTCATGAATTTGCGTGTCATCCTTGCACAGGGTCCATGCTAATCTTCTCTGTATCATTCCAAATTTAGTGTATGTGGTGCTGAAGCAAGTTGGAGAGTTTTTAAAGAAAGGCTGAAGCCTGGGCCAAGACCAGCTGCCTGTTACTGGAAAAGCCTCTGGCAGTAGGAGAACTGGGTCAGGCAGGGTCCAGGGAGTCATCAGGGTAGAGTGAGTGGAGGTTACCAAGTTAATGCTGATTCAGATTTGGCCCTGTGGGATACGCACTCAATACAGGTACAATGCAGCTGTCTCTTCAGCCCTCACCCTGAAGTCACACAACAAAGTTTCTCCCCGTATGTCTCTGGCACCCCCCTGAGCCGCTGTCACTTCACTAGTGCCCAGGGTGAGTGCTTGAAAACAAGGGTCTGTGTATGGTCCCTTTAAGAGGACACCTGGGACCCTGACTGAGTTGGCTCAGTTGGGTGGAGCATCATCCTGTACACCAGAAGGTTGTGGGTTGGATTCTCAGTCTGGGTACATACCCAGGTTGTGGGTTCAATCCCCAGTCAGGGATTAAATGTGGGAGGCAACAGATCAATATTTCTTCCTTACATTCAGTATTTCTCTCTTACATCGATGTTTCTCTCTCCCTCCCTCTCTGAGATCAATTTTAAAAAGAGAATAAAAGAGGACATCCGGGTTTCCAGCAGCCTACAATCTCATTCAATGGACTGGACAGAATCCTCACTGATTTGTACAGCCAGATGTTATATGGACTCCCCTTCTTGGCACTGGTACCTAGGGCTGGTGTGACCAGTGTGGAGCTGCGACCCCTCATTCTTAAGGGGGGTAGCTGAGATATGTCTCCCAATTCACGGCTATGGAGCCAGCCTTTTTTAGTCTCTGCCCCTCTTAATAGTATGAGGCTGGGACCCCTCACTTATCAACTTATCAGAGGTGGCCTCCATAGCTGAGATATCCCTCCCAATTCTCAACTGCCACATGTGGGTATAGGACTAGCCTGCTTTGCATCTTTGCACTCCTAACAGTCTCAAGGTAGCTGCTTCTTTATATCCTTAGTTATAGGACTTCGATTCAGCTCATTTTCTGTTGGTTCTCCAGGTTGACTATTCTATAATTTAGTTGCAATTTTGGTGTGGTCATGGGAGGAGGCAAGCACAGCGTTTACCTACTTCACCATCTTGAAGGTAACTCCTGAGAATTTGCATTTCTAACATTGAGCACCATTATGATGAACTTCTGAAAAGAAGTATAAAAAATCACAACTATAAAAGTGGAACAATGCTGGTGGCATACTGGGAACAAAAATAGAACCTGAGGGGCTAATCTCACCTCACCATGATGACTACTATAATCACTTGTAAGAATCACCAATCTGAGCCCTGACTAGTGTGGCACAGTAGGTTGGGCGTTGTCCTGTGCACCAAAATGTTGCTAGTTTGATTCCTGGTTCAATTCCTAGTCAGGGCACATGCCCGGGTTGCAGGCTCGATCCCTGGTAGGGAGTGTGCAGGAGGCAGCCAATTGGTGTTTCACTCTCCCATCAATGTTTCTTCTCTCTCTTTCCCTTTCCCTTCTTCTCTAATAATCAAATTTTAAAAAGTCTTAAAAAAAAAAAAAAAAGAAAGTACCAAGCTGAGAAAAATACTGGGGGAAACAGAAACTTGAGGGGAGAATACTGGGGCCTCTCCTCACCTGGAAAATCTCCTTCTAGTTATTCCCCTCAGAAATTTGAGGCTTTGTGTTATAGCAAGGAGGCCCTGCCATTTTCAGGGTCAGGATGTGGTTTGTGAAGGAGTGCAGATGGCAAAAGTCCACTGAACGATGTCTTACATTTCACCTTCTCTTTCTTGCTCAAAGGCATCCCCTTCACCCACAATCTTCTCTGACATTAATCCTCCCACACTCTGAGGGCAGGGGGCAGCTGCAGGTTCTACAAAGTCTCAGCCTACCCGTCTGTCCTGTTTCTCTCTTCCCCCGCCTCAAGAGTTTGCTATACTGTGCTCTCTTCAGCATCATATATGCTAAAACTGGAACGATACAGAGATTAGCATGGCCCCTATGCAAGGATGACATGCAAGTTTGTGAAGCATTCCATATTTAAAAAATAATAATATTCCACACTTTCCTTAGTTCCTCCTACTTTAAAAACACACACACAAAAAAACCCACTAATTTAAACACACTCAAAGATACAAGGAACAGAGAAAACAGAAGACACAAGGGGATTATTGTTCCTTACCTGACAGTCATAAAAAGGGTGTCCCCGCCAGCACATCACATCCAGAATGTAGTAGGTCTGCTTTGCCTCACTGTAAATGCAGTCCAAAATGGTGTAGTCTAGGACACAATGCAGAAAGTTGGTACAGGGTGCCCCTCCAATCAGGGTTCCATCCAACACAATCTAGGAAGCCCATCTTAGGGCTTGGGAACTGAGTCCCAAAATCCCTGGTACTTGCAGCAAGCACCAGCACTGAGGTATGAGAATTCAGTGAGGAAAGCATTCTTCATGAAGCAGCTAAAGGGGTAAACTGAGGTAGGTCAAGGCAACCCTTAAGCCAAGTGGAAATTCTGAACTTTTAGATAAATTGGGACATTTACCTACCTCAGAGAAGCTCAAGTTTGAAAGCAAGTAATCATCCATTTTAGTTTACAACTACTTTTTTTTTTTTTTTTAAATATATCTTTATTGATTTCAGAGAGAGGAAAGGAGAGGGAGAGAGAGATAGAAACATCAATCATTGATCGGCTGCCTCCTGCACTCCCGACTGGAGATGGAGCCCGCAACCCGGGCATGTGCCCTGACCAGGAATCGAACCCCCATCTCCTGGATCCTAGGTTGATGCTCAACCGCTGAGCATGGCTACAACTACTTTTTGAGTTCCTATCATGGGCACTGTGTTCTGCAGGAAACATTAACAGTAAGTAGTCCCTGCCTTTAAAAATGTTACAATCTGCCCTGGCCAGCACTGCTCTGTGGTTAGAGCATCAGCCTGCCCACCAGAGGGTTGCAGGTTCAATCCCCAGCCCAGGTCTGGATGCATGTGGGCAACAAACAATCAATGTGTCTCTCTCACAGCAATTTTTCTCTCTCTCTCCCCCCCAACCCCTCCCTTCCATTCTCTCTAAAAAAAGAAAAAAATCATTGGAGAAAATATCCTTGGGTGAGGATTAACAAAAATAAATAAGTACAGTAAAGTTACAATACAGTTAAGGAGATAAAATGATCACAGAGGAGCCCTGGCCAGTTTGCTCAGTGGTTAGAGCATCGGGTCTTGGGTTCCATTCCTGGCCAAGGGCAGGTACCTCGGTTGCAGGTTCGATCCCAGCTCTTGAAGGTGGGGCACATGCAGGAGGCAACCAATTGATGTGTCTCTCTCACATCGATGTCTGTCTGTCTCTCCCTCTCTCCTTTCCTCCCTCCCTCCCCTTCCTCTCTCTCTAAAAATAAAATCAATGGAAAAAAATATTCTCAAGTGAGGATTAACAAAACAAAACAAACCCCACGTGATCACAAGGAAAAGAACCAAGAGCTGAACTATATGGTACAAACTAAGAATAGGAATCCCAGGAAAAAAGGGATTGGAGCAGCATAAAATGCTTCCTAGAAGACATGTGATATGAAGAGTTTTCTGGGATAAGAGAATTAAAACAGGGCAGAGGGGAGGTGGGAGGGCATTCCAGATTACTGACATGGCTTGAGAAAAGGCTCAGAGGTAGAATAAATTTGGTACATGAGGAAAGCAAGATGGCAAGCCAGCTGGACAGAGCTAAAGGTGGATATGGAGAGTAGGGGAAAGATACAAGGACAGGTGGCTATTCTAAAAACCAATAGAGAAGTGTGCGCTCAGTACTGAGGACATGAGGAGCCACCAAGGGAGCCTGAGCAGGCAGAGACAATAGCAGAGTTCAGCCCAACTCTGCCACTTCGTCACTGAATTACCATGGGCAAGTTATTTAACCTCCAAGATCTTAATATCCCTAGCTAGGCTCAGGTGCGAGAGAGAAGCTAAAGTTAGGATAATGATAAAGGAGAAAAGGGAATTTGGCAGGGAAGTCCCAGCAGCATCTTACTGTACATTACACTAGGCATTCTGAGGGAACTTTCTCCAACAAACTGCAGCTGTCACCATGTAATGGCAGTTCATGGGAAAACACGTTGATTTTAATTCAAGGATTTTTTGCCCAGCAGGCCTCGTTGGGCTGCGTCTACTCTGCAGCTGCAGAGGGCTGACAATGAAGGAGATGGCCTGAATTCAGTGGGCAGGACGCTGTCTGTGCACTTTTAAAGGTATGCTTTCAAAGTGGATCTTTAAAACAACTGACCAAGAAATATATACTACCTTTTACTGATTATAAAACTTAATAATTATAAACTTAAAAAACAGACAGTTTTATGTAGGTACCTTTTGCTGTTGTTGAGTTTTGCCTATTGCCCCCTGGCAGAAGCGAGGAAAACCTGTTGACACAGTAACCACTCTTGGTGTAGGCACTGGTAGAACCCTGTTTGGAAAGAAATGTACCATTCTCATTAGGCATCAGCTCTCCTCACCCTCTTGCCTCCACATTCTGCAGGGGTATCATCAGCCCAAAGATGGCTCTCAAAACATCTTCCTACAGGAAAGTGTTTCAATCCCCATGCCAGGCATAGCTGCTGCGGCACAAAAGGAATATGAAGTGCAAAGAATCCCTCTTGCTACAGACAAGGCATGGTGTCGTAAGAAGAGGAGGCAGCTACTCACCCTAGAGGCCACAATAAGTGCTCTTTTTCCAACAGGGCACACGACCACAATCCATTCCTGCCCCAAATCTGAAGGGACGTCAATTAACCACTCAGAAAGCATCAACTGGGAACACAAAATATGGTGTTAAATATCAATAGGGGTGTCCTGCTCCACTGTTTACAATGACAAAGAATCCACGTACTGTATTATATCTATAATGAAAACACAAGTTAAAGAATGAGGGGAGAAAACACTGACAGTGGGACCTCCACCCCACTTACTCTTAGAAGTCAACTTGTCTCCTGCTCAACTGATGGGATGGAGGCCACTCACCGTGAACCTCAATTTCTCTCCTCACCTTCATTACCTGTATTCACACCCATTCTTACTACCTCACCCCCCGTACCTGGGTGATGGGACCCTCTTCCTTTCCTTACTTTGTCTACCCACCTACCATTACCATAATTATTATGTTCCAGGGGCTATACCTTAGAGAGAAATAAGGACCCTGAAATTGAGATGCTCTTAAACTAGGTCATTCTTTCCCAGACTGGTGACACAAATACTATACTAAAGGATGTTAAGAAATCTACCCCAAGAAAGGGGGGCGTTGTGGGAAAATGAATTTGAAAAGGTCAACTCTTCCTCTCATCACTCATAGTCCATCACATCTATACAGACTTAGGTCTATCAATTAATCCTTGCCACTGAATCTTTCCTCTCTCCTTCCCCTTAGCCCACAAAACACTTAACCCCTAATTTACATAAACAAAACAAAAATGAAAACCTTGTATCACTTTACATTTGTTAAGCTACTCTACTTTCTCCTTTTTTTCAAACTACTTCATATGGTTGCTTCCTTCCCACCTACTGACACCCTCAGTCCAAATATGCTACCCCACAGTCCTGCTAAAGGCCATCAGTGACCTCTATGTTACCAAGTGACTCTTCCCTTATTTCATCCTCCCGCTTCCACTCCCTGTTCAATGCTGCCAATCACATCCTCCTCCTTGATACATGTTCCCTTGTCCCTGTGACACAGTGGTACTGTTTTTCCCTTCAAATATTCCTTCACATACTCCCCCAAAACATGTAAATAATCTTTAGAAGTCTGTTTTAGGTCCTCCTTTTCTTTTCTCTTAGACACTGCCCCCTTGGGGGTGGATCTCATCTACTTCTGTAGCTTTGTCATTCAAAGAGGATGCCTCCCAACTGCCTTCTTTTTCATGTCCATATTTCCTTCCTTTCCTCCAGACATATATTTCAAGCTGGCCATTTGATATTTGTTTGTCCTCTCTGTACCTTAAGCTCAGTATATACAAAATGGAATTCACTGCCTTCTGTTGCCCAAGTACTTCCCAACCCTGAAACACGCACCCTTCCCCTTCTGCATTCTGTAATCCTGTTAACTGCATCATCACTATCTCTGCTACTGAATCTTAAACCCAAGGCATAATCAACATTCCCTTAAAAGAGTAGTAATATGACACTAAAAAGACAAGTGACAAAACAAAAAATAGGTAAATTAGACTACACAAAATTCAAAACTTCTGTGCTGCCAACAATACCATCAAGAAAGTGAAAAGAACCCAGTGGTATGACACCAAGACAGAATGTGCCCTGTGCAGAGAGAAGTTCCCTTCCCAGAAGCTCGTCTACCTACATATTGGAAGTTAATCTCACTTTCTTACAGCAAAAAACATATTCTAGTTATTCCAGGAGTACAGGGGTTATTTCTGACCCATGGCTACCTTCCCCACAGCATAGCCTACTGTAACACAGGCCCTTCAGTGCTGCTTGTTGAACAGAACTAAATTATACTGTCATAGGGGATGTTACCTGTGCTGTATTTGGGGCAGAGAAGAAAGATGGGAGTGTGTGCACCCCGGAACCATATTCTAAAGGTGGAAGAAGATTCTGAAGTGACAAGATACTTAGGTTATGGAAAGAAGTATACAACAGAAAGGTAGGACCCCCACTAGGACCCATACCTTGCCTTCTGGAATACCTGGACTGCCTAGAGCACTGGACAGTCTCCATGCCTGCTTCCCCTATGGTGCCACAAGCCACATTGGTTTTCTCTCTGGAATCAACAGGGCACTTAGCTAAATTTGTTACAATGACCTGTGATTTCATGCCTTCAGCCCCACATAGGCCAACTGGGTGGCATGGCATGGCTGCGCAGGCTCCTTATATTCAAGGGCAGCTATACTTCCCATCTTCTACCAACTGAATGTGAAGATTCAAGACTGACATCTTAGTCCTCTGCTTGGGGAAGACTAGACTACCAGTCTGGGAGGTGTGGTGGGGTAGTGCTGGGCTGAAGAGGTCTGATCCAGAATAGCTATGCAATGACTATTAAAGAAGTGACAAGTACATGGAGACTACTAGTACATCAGTAGTGAGCATGGGGTAATGGTTCCCAAACCCACTATTCAGTATCCAGCAGTGATCCCTGGTTAGCAAACGGCACTGTAAGCCATCTCTTCATCTGTAAACTTTCTGAACATCATCATTTTCTTTGTAGTTCTCATTCCTTTTTTCTGCCTCCTCCTCCTCCTCTTTATGGCAACATATATTCCAGTGGGGTTTGAATGTATACTAAAGGGAATGGGACTAGCTGGGCCTAATCTCTGGCATACTCACTTGATTAGCATAGCGCTTTGGTAACTTCTTGCCAGTGTCAATGTCCATTTCTTCATCTTTCTTATCTTCTTCTTCCTCACTCTCCATCCCTGTCCAGTCATCTTCAGCCAGTCTTCTGGCATGATTCACATAATCCAGCCGCTTGCTGGAGAAAGAAAAGGCATAGAGACAGGTCTTTATGTCTTGTAGGAAGACACCCTACAATGTGACAGATGGATTCAATTCAAAGACTCCAAATTCAGAAGCACTTGGGGATTCTGATGGGAGTAAGAGATGACAGAATTTCCTCTATAAGGCTGAACTAGTGACCACCTCCTCACAAATCCTAAATAGGAAACCCACTCTGAACAAATATAGCCTTCCTCAGAGTTTCCTAAGACTGAGAAAAGTAAAATATTTAAAGGAATTTTCAAGGTTCACCAGCTAGAAAGGCTGACCTTACTCCCACCTCTACCCCAGGTGAGAGCTAAGACTTCTCTGCCTGGCAGGTATCTAGTCCAAAGGTCCCCAGGGACTGAAGAGAAGAATCATTTAGATGCAGTGAAAATATAAAACAAGGACAGCTTCTGGGGCTTTTCGCTTTAAACAGTTTTCTGAGGAGCAGCCAGGCCTTTCTCCAGCTCTAGTCTAATACTCAAAAACAAGTCAAGGGCATGTAACTCAGTTGCAGGCTTGATCCCCGGCCCAGGTCAGGCTTGTGCGGGAGGCAACAAATCAATGTGTCTCTCTTACATGGATGTTTCTCTCTCTGTCTCTCTCCTGCCTTTCCACTCTCTCTAAAAAAAGAAAAATATCCTCGGGTGAGGATTAATGAAACAAAAATCCTCAATCACTTAGTTTACAATTTAGTATCTTTTACTTCGTTTCCCTTTATCTTTACCTTCCTCTTTTTAAAAAACTACATATCGTAGAAAGTTTGGGAAATGAGAAGGAAGAAAAATTACCTTTGGAACCTAATTGTCCCAAAGTGATTTACAGAGCAGCCCCAGCCTAATTGCTCAGTTGGTTAGAATGTCACCAAGTTGGTTAGACACAAGATTGCAGGTTTGATTCTCGGTCAGGGCACATACAAGAATCAAACAAGAGATCAAACCCTGAGGCAGTGATACCAACTCAGGTGGTTTCTTCTCAAACACATGTGTTCATGCACATGAAGGTGCATAGGAGAGAGAGCATATGCAAGCACAATGGTCTTTTACTTCAAGAATAAGGAAGAAACCCTAGCTGGTTTGGCTCAGTGGTTGGAGTGTCAGCCCATGGACTGAAGGGTCCCGGATTCGATTCCAGCCAAGGGCACATACCTTGGTTGTAGGCTCTATCCTCGGTCAAGCATCTGTGGGAGGCAACCAATTGATGTGTCTCTCACATCAACATTTCTCTCTGTCTCTCTCTCCCCCCGCCACCCCCCACCATGCTCTCTGAAAAGCAATGGAAAAATATCCTTGTATGAGAATTAAAAAAAAAAAAAAAAAAAAAAAAAAAAAGGATAAGGAAGAACTAGTGTACCTGTACATGTGCCAAAGGATGCATTTCTGTGGTTATTTCCAGAGCACTGTTTTAAGCACAAGAGAAGGAAACTACTCAGATACCAATCAGTAGGGGACTGCTTATATCATGAACTGTCCATTCAATGGAATACCTGGCACTTTATGAACTGATACAGAATCTCTACAAAAAACCAGTTAACTAAATGTGCAGAACAGTGTACTTACTGTATTCTGTTGAAGAAAGAAAAAAAAAGTCAACTGCCCATGTGGCTCAGCGGTTGAGCATCAACTGACCTATGATCCAGGAGATCACGGTTTGTGGTTCGATTCCTGGTCAAGGCACATACCTAGGTTGCAGACTCGATCCCCAGTGGGACATGCAGGAGGCAGCCCATCAATGACTCTCTCATCATTGATGTTTCTTTCTCTCTCCCTGAAATCAATAAAGATATATTTAAGAAGAAAAAAAAGGTCGCCCTGGCCAGCTGGCTCTGTTGGTTGGAGCATCACCATACACCAAAAGGTTATGGGTTTGACTCCCAGTCAGGGCACATACCTAGGTTAAGGGTTCAATCTCTGGTCAGGGTAGGTTCGGGAGGCAACCGGTTGATGTTTCTCCTCACATCAAAATTTCTCTCTCTCTTCATCTCTCTAAAATCAATAAAACACATAACCTCAGGTGATCACATAACCTCAGGTGATCACACACTTGCTCATATTGCATAGAATATCTTTGGAAGGATACACAAGAAACTATTAATATGAGAGAGGAAGTGAATGGGGAGGGGACAGAATTAGGAGGAAGACTTTTCACCAATTATTTTGCAATAGGTAATATATTCATTACATGTACGTGATCTGAGAAGGTAATCTGCAAGCAACCCAGAGGCCACTGGGAACCATATCTGCTAAATACACACAGTGATGCAGCACTGGGCAAAATGTAGATGGTACAGAAACTGTGTAGCAGTTAATAGCTCCTCTTGATTTTCAATTCCTTAATTTATTACCCAGAAGAGGTCCATGTTGCACTGAGAATAAAAGGACAGGCCCTGCCTTCAGAATAGCCCAGGCTCAAACATTCCTATCCTGCTCTCTTTCCCTGTGTGCTCATCTTGGCATTGAGAATTAGGTATAAGGAAGGCATTTCCTCAGGTCCTCAGTGGAATTATTTGTCTGGAACTCCCAAGGGCTCCACAGAAACATTTGGGCTGCAGGCAGACAGGAAGACCACACCAATGCCAGGATTCAGAGTGTAAGAGAAGTTACACAGGGAATATGGGGAGTGGAAATCTGGGCGTGACTTTCACAAGTCCATAAATTACAAACCTTAGTACTGCTGCCAGGAAAAAAAGAAAAATTTAACCAAATAACTGAACTTTTACTTTCAAACTTCCTCATCTTTTCCTAAGCTCTGGATGTAGAGGATGTTTACCTCTGTCAGGATTTATTCCTCCCAACCTCCTCAGCAAGATGATCAACCTGCAAAGGGTCTACTTTGAAGGGGGTTCTGTAGAGGCAAGCCTAGAGGTTCCTGAACAGTACATGATGCCCAGTCTAGAGAAAAAAACAGGGAGTAAAAGCATCCCTTACAATTTCTGCCGTTCCAGTAACTGCTGGCGTCGCTCACTCTGCTCCAAAGAACTGTACTTGGACTTGTACTGGGACAGGCGGGGGTGTGGGGCAGCTGTGCTATTCAGATCTTGAGACACAGAAAAGCTAGTAGCCAGGGCTTGACTCAGCTCTTCCATTTTCCCTACAAAGGAAAACATAAGAAAATGGTTGATTCATTTCATATTACCTCCTGTATACAGGCAGTTATAATATGATGACTACATTCCTAAAAAACCTTACTTAATCCAAAATCATAATGGTTTCCATGGGAAAAATGAGTTAAATGGCAAATGAGTTACAGGTGAGCAATTATTTCCTGCAGATATTTCAATAATGATCCTTCTGATAGCTCTGAGTGTATAGATATAAACTTAAACATTAGTCACTAAGCAATTTTACCTTGCGATTGAATCTAACCTTTGTTCTTTGTCATCCATTACCAGGGATCCTGTCATTAATTTCTTCTTACTATCACAGATAACCAATGATGTGATCAAGTACCTAATTTTTCCCTCAATAGTTCTAAATAGTCATTAACTTTCTGATGCAAATTTTACCCAATTGGTTGTTTAATTCTCTAATAAATGCCAACTCACATTAAGAAAATTTAGCTCCAGGAGAAATACTGGTTCTGGGGCCCTAGAGGAAGAGAAAAGAAGCCAAAAACCCAAACCTGGCAGTTATTTTCTCATTTTATACTTTGTTTTGTTTGGGGTGGGCATAAGAAAGTTTTCAGAACTACCTGTTTAGGACTCACTTGAAAAATGATCACTAAGAAAAAGCAAAAGCAAAAAAAAAAAAAAAAGCTAGAATGTGAAAGGCTATCTACCAGCTAATACCATGTGTTTTAGAAATGTGAGGGACTGCCCTAGCCTGTTTGGCTCAGTGGTTGGAGTGTTGGCCCAAGGAGTGAAGGGTCCTGGGTTTGATTCCAGCCAAGGGCATGTACATTATTTGCAGGTTCCAGCCCCAGCCCAGTTCAGGGCGCATGCGGGAGGCAACCAATTGATATGTCTCTCTCACATCAATGTTTCTCTCTCTCCCTTCTACTCTCTGAAAAGCAATGGAAAAAATATCCTCAGGTGAGGATCTGAAAAAAAAAGAATGAGCCCGGCCGACTATGGCTCAGTGGTTGAGCGTGGGCCTCGGATCCAGATCACAGTCCGATTCCCGGTCAGGGGAGTGCAGGAGGCAGCCAATCAATGACTCTCTCATCATTGATGTTTCTATCTCTCTCTCTCTCTCCCTCTCCTTTCCTCTCTCTGAAATCAATAAAAAAATATTAAAAAAAGAAAAAAAGAAAAAAAAAAAGAAAGTAGAAAGAGGTGAATTCATACTTCACTCGCCTGTGAATAAAGGCATGAGGTGGCACAGGAGCTTATTCAAGAGTTAAAGGTGTGCCTAAGAAGGTAAGAAAACAGAAACATTCGAGAGAAATCTGACTCACACAGCTGGACTGGCCTAACCCTTTAGTTCTAGTGGCCACCACAGTGCTTAAAGTGCTTAAAGTTCACCTCAGGCCAGATGCCACTGCTCTGAGCACCAAAACCAATAGGTTCATTCCAGAGCCTCTGTAATTAAAAATACAACTTTATGGGCCTGTACTTGGCAATGAGCTACTTTCCATTGCATACTTGAAGTCAGATTTTTTTTTTCTTAATTTACAGCATTAATTTTAATTTGAAAGGAACTATAAAAAATTGTGGTTAAAAACTCATGATGTAAAATTTACCATTTTAACCATTTATAAGTGTATACAGTTCAGTAGTGTTAAGTACATTCACATTGTTGTACAATTTCCAGACCTCTTTTCATCTTGCAAAATGTAGCCTCTATACCATTAAACAGGAAAGGAACTCATTTTAACTTAAGATTAACATATTACCACTGTTGACTTGAGGCTTGTCTTAACACTTGTGGTGGCCATTTGTGGTTGAGGCTAGGTGAGATTACTTGGAATCCATAACGGTGTGCTATTTTCTGCACTTTTGTATAAGTCTGAACACTTCCATGATAAAATTTATGGGTTTCTGCTATTCTGAGAAGCACAAAAATTCTTAATTGCAGCTTTGGATACTGGGGAGGCTCGCTGTACTGTTCTTGGCTGGCTTCTGCTCTTTGGACCCATTTCTCCAACGGTGCAGTCTTAAGTGGTTCTCACCTTAGCCCGGTGGTCTCATGGTCCAGCTGCGTCTGCCTCCTACTAACTCCCAAATTTCCGACTCATTCAGGACCCTACCCCGCGCTCCAGTGCCCCTTGCGTCTCCAGCCTCCCCATCCTCGTCCTCATCCTCCGAGACCCAAGCCATGCATCCCAGGCCCGACAGGGTCGAGGCCTTCTGGGCATCTCTTACCGAGCTTCTATCCGCCCCAGGCGACCGTTCTCCCCGACACAACCACACACAGCCCTTCCCTAGTCAACGAGCGGTTAAGTCTTGCAAAATCCCTCCCTCCCCCACAAGTCCCTGAGGGTCTGGGCCGGACCACCGGGACAGGAGGACCGGAAGCACGCCAACAGGGATAGCCTGGCTGGCCCCGCCCCTGCAGGGGAGGCCTCCGGGGACCCGGGAGGCGGAGACGGTCACGGGAAGAAGGTACCGGCACTGAGGGGCAGCTGAAGCCAGCGAGGCGAAGTCTCGGACCCAAGACTCACCCGGCCGCGGTAACACTTCCACGCGGCGCTGCCGCCGCCACGGGCCAGCCAATCAGTTGCCCCAGGATAGCCGGCCCGCCCCGCGGCCCCCACCGGCCGGCCCACTCGCCCTGCTTGCGGTTTCCGGCCCTCCAGCCGCAGCGCTGTCTCCGCACGACGCTACTTCCGCTCCCAGCTGTTGGCGTTTTTCCGGTCAGCTCCGGCTACTCCTTGAGGTGATCGGGCCTGGCAGTGCCTTCGCCCGGAGCACAAGGTCCTGGGCTCCTCGCCCCCAAGTGAAGGGCCCCGACCTGTTCCTCGGCCTTCTGGGCCCTCCTGCCTTGGGTTGCGCTTCGACCCCGCTCAGAGCGCTCACGGCACTCCCATAGCCCGCCCCTCTCCGTGCTCGGTCGCTGAATGGCTCCCGGCTCCGCTCACACCCACTCTCGGTTTACGGCGCTACGCCGGAACTGGACTTCATTACATCATCTTTGCTCCGTTTGGGAGGCTCTTTTTCCTACTCGGTGGTGGACTCGGCAAAAGCGGGGACGGCTGGTGAGTGGTTTAAGTAGTAAGCATCAAGTACAAAGCACTCAGTAGACGTCTCTGAAGAATGACTGCCTTCAGGGGGTAGGGGAAGCACCCCAGATAGGAGAGCTAATCAAGCTGCAGTTCCGTGTGGGTCCAGGAACCAAGCGGTCACGGTTTGATTCCGGGACACTGCACCTGCCCAGGTTGCAAGCTCATCCCTAGTGGGGGTGTGCAGGAGGCAGCCCATCAATCATGTTCCTCGCTCATCGATATTTCTCTCTATCCCTCTCCCTTTCTTACTAAAAAATAAAACATTAAAAAATTAGGAATACCATTTATTGAATGCTTATATTGATCAGACACTGCCTCATAATTTAATCTGCAAAAAACAGGTAGAAACTGAAGCTCAGAGACGTTAAGTAACTTTCCTGTCACAACTTTTGAGCCAAATATTTGAATTTGCTGAATATTTGACCAAGAAATTAAATATTACTATCCTACAGAAAGGAAATATACAAAGTTGGCACATTTTGAGTCCAAGGTATGCACAAAAAAAGGGAGTTCTATGGAAAGTAACCTCACAGGGTGATCTGATAATAAATTCCTAACTGGGCAGGTCATTGTGGGTAGTTAGGCCCCAGGCATATAACTTCTTTAGTGAAAGGTTTTAAACCAACCCTGTCCATTGTTCTTATGCATCTAGGTTAACACCCCTTTGAAATGACAGAAGTCATATCCCTTAAAGGGGGGGTGTTCCCTGAAGACATAATCTTATTAACTATCCTATAATCCAATCCCAGCCTTGTTCTCCAATCTTCCTTACATCTCCTTCTTAATTTCAAATGCATAAAAGAAGATGCAAATTGTTATTTTCAGTAGCAGTTGAGATCTTTCTCCCTGCATACGTGACCAGTTTGGCTAGAATAAACTCTTGCCCTAGCAGGTTTGCTCAGTGGTTAGAGCAGCGGCCTGTGGACTGCAGGGTCTCTGTTTGATTCAGGTCAAGGGTACATACCTTGGTTGCAGACTTGATCCCAGGCCCCAGTCCAGGGGTGTGTAGGAGGCAACCAATCGATGCCTCTCTCACATCGATGTTTCTCTCTCTCTTCCCCTTCCACTTTCTTAAAAGCAATGGAAAAAATATCCTCGGGTGAGGATTAAAAAATTTAAAAAATAAACTCATAAAAATTCTCTGCAGGTTTGTATATTTCATACGTGGACAGGTATGGCAACAAAAGCACAAGCAACAGAATTAAAAATAAAGTGAGCTTCATGAAATTAAAGACTCTTTTACACCAAAGTACATTATCAAGAGTTAATACACAGAGAGTAGAAGAAAATATTTGCAAATCAAATATCTAATAAAGGACTAATATCCAGGATATATAAAGGACTACAACTCAATAACAAAAAACAGTATAACAAAATGGGCACAGGACTTGAACAGATATTTACCCTAAGATGTACAAATGGCCAATAGCACATGAAAAGATGTTCAACATCACTAATCATTAGGGAAATGCAAACCAAAATCACAATAAGATACCACTTCACACCATTAGGATGGCTATTATTTTAAAAAAATAACATGTTGGTGAGGATGTGCAGAAATTGGAACGCTCATGCATTATTGGTGGAAATATAAAACAGTTCAGCCACTATAGAAAACAGTATGGTGGTTCCTCAAAAAATTAAACATAAAATTACCATATGATCCAGCAATATCACTTCTGAGTATACAGTTATGGATGAAAAAGGGGTTCTGTAATAACACTGACAAGTCTGTTAAGGGAAAGTAACCTCACAGAGTGATCTGATCACAAATTTCTAACTGGATAGGTAAGAAAGAGTAGGTAGTCACATTTCCAATCGCATTCTCGGGAGTGTTTGAGATCTTTTGGCTCAAATAAACTCTTGTAAAAATTCTCTATAGATTTGGAGGTTTCCTGTGTTAACACACTAAGTCCTCACTTAATTTATACAATAGGTTATAAACAATGCAGGGTTTAGGGACACCGAAGCCCACTCCATTTCACCCCCACTTCCTGTAAGCCTCCAAACCGAGAATCAAAATATTTTTTCACCCTGGCTGGTAGCTCAGTTGACTAGAGCATCATCCCAATGCACCAGGGTTGCAGGTTTGATCCCTGATCAGGATGTTATGGGAAAGAGGACCTGTCTCTTAGCGGGTCTCCCTAGAGCCGACCCATAGTGTGTGGGTTCTTGACTTCATGCAGGAAAAATTTCACAACCGTAGTCCAAGTGAATTTTATTTTATTTTTTTAAGAATTCTATTGATTTTTTAGAGAGAGAAGAAGGAGAGAGAGAAATATTGATATAAGAACAAAACATTGATAGGCAGACTCCTGCACGCCCAGACCAGAAATGGAACTGGCAACCCACTGGTGCATTGGACAATGCCTAACCAACTGAGCCACACCAGCCAGGGCACAGTCTAATAAATAAACATTAGAGGATGTTTATTTATTTATTTATTTATTTATTTATTTATTTATTTATTTAAATATATCTTTATTGATTTCAGAGAAAGGAAGGGAGAGGGAGAGAGAAACCTCGATGATGAGAGTCATTAATTGGCTGCCCCTCTCCCCCGTACACCCCCTACAGGGGAGCCCAAAACCTGGGCATGTGCCAGATCAGGAATCAAACTGAGATCTGGATCGTAGGTGGATGCTCAACTGCTGAGCCATGCCAACCAGGCTAGAGTACATTTATTAAAGCTGGGTATAGTGAAACACGGGTCTAGGATAAGAAGAGAGGGACTAGGTGGGAAAATGAGCCTAGGCTGGGCTGTATTGCCTCACTAAGAAGTCACAGTAAAGAGGATCTTGGGGATAAGTTCTGAGGTTTAGCCAGGGATGAACTGCAGCTGCCCATTGCTGCTCTGGTTGCAAGCCTTGTGGGGTCCCTTAGAATTTAGGAGATGCATGCCTGTGCAATAAAAGGGGGGGGGGCACAGTAGTGCTCCTGGGAGGAAGATCACACTCTGGGACCTCCATTTTAGGGGTTTTAAAGGCTGGGCATTTAGGGAAGGCCTTAGAGTAGAATCTCAATAGAATATTCATCAGTTTTATGCTGATTTGCCAAAATGAAATTTATTCCCTTAACTTCACCTGTCCTTGGTGTGGTTGACAAATGGCATTAATTGGATTTCTGCTGTCTTATCTCCCTGAGTAGGGTGATTTAAGCTACTTAACCTCTGGTTGGGGAGGAAAAGGAGGAAAAGTGCAAACTATTTACTTTTTTTTTTTTTTTTTTAAATAAAATATATCTTTATTGATTTCAGAGAGAGGAAAGAAGAGCGAGAGGGAGAAATAGAAATATCAACGATGAGAGAGTCATTGATCGAGCCCGCAACCCAGGCATGTGCCCTGACCGGGAATCGGACCCCAATTGCCTGGATCCTCGGTCGATATTCAACCGCTGAGCCACGCCCCGCTGGGCCTATTTACTCTTAAGTGTCTTTGGTTTAGGGAAGATAAGATTTACTAGATGCCTGCAAACTGCTTTAAACAAGCAGTTTAAAAATGTAGTTTAACTATTTGTCTCAGTTTCCTTATTCCATTTGCCAAGGAATTTTCCTAGCTTCTTACTATTCTCTCATTGGCACATACAAGAATCAACCAGTGAATGCATGAACAAGTTGATGTTTTTCTCTCTCTAAAATCAATAAATAAAAACAAAAATAAGTATTTTTAAACCCACAGTTGGTTGAATCCTGGATGTGAAACCCAGGAATATGAAGGGCCAATTATATATATATATGTTTTTTAGAGAGATAGCTAGAAACAAAGATGAGAGAGAAACATCAATTAGCTGCCTCCTGCAAGCCCCCTCCTGGGGAGGGGGCCTGAATCCCCTGGCATGTCCTGACCAGAAATTAAACCCATGACCTCTTAGTACATGGGTCAATGCTCGACCACTGAGCCACACCAGCCAGGGCTGAAGCAGTTATTAAGCACCCACTATATGTAAGACCTCATCCTGGGGCACATGGTGATGTTAAAAGACAAAATTAACTGAGTAAATTTGAAGATCTAATGGGTTTTGCTTTAGTAAATAATAAAAACCAGTGGCATTCCATCTAGCACTAGAAGGGCACTCCTGGGGGTTGTACAAAATGGAAGGCTTTTTTTATAGGAAGAAGATGGGGCAAGGGAGCTATCAGCAAAAGGAAAAAAAAGGACTTTTTGTGGCCAGGGGTTTTCTCTTGTTTCCTCTCTATGTGTTTTTGTTAACCTTCACCTAAGGGTATTTTTCCCTTTGATTTTTAGAGAGAGTGGAAGGGAGGGAGAGAGGGACAGAGGGAGAGAGAGAAAAAAAAACATTGACGTGAAAGGGACGCATCAACTGGTTGCCTCCCAAACACAGGGATGGAGCCTGCAACCAGGTACATGCCCTTGACTGGGAAATAAAGCCATGACCCTATGGTATGCATGATGATGCTCTAATCACTGAGCACACGGGCTAGGACGTGTGTGTGTGTGTGTGTGTGTGATATGTGTGTTTAATCATGCAGGTTGCCTTTTCTTTCTATGGGGCATGGAGAGGGCCCATGTGACAGATCACCTTAATAGTGCTTGACCAGATTGGTTGATTAAAATTTAATTTCTGGGAGAGGTTGAAACTGCAATTAGATCAGTTATTAAATCTAGGTTTGTTATCTTGGGCTTTTAGCACAAGTGACACCATTTTGGGCCTGTGGTTTTCTCTTTACCAGTGGGGACATAGCTTCGTTCCCATCTTCCCTGAGACACCCTCTTGGGTAATCATACTCATGTCAGGCACCTTGAGAGTAATATTAAAATAACATGCAAATTAATTGTTGCTGGAGGTTGAGACAAATACAGTCTAGCCAAGTTGTCATAGTTATCCCAGCTGAGGCATCCTAGACCAATCAGCCTACCCTCAGATTTAAGAAACCTCAGTCAAGGTCAACAGAGCTAATAATCCAACACATTTAATCACAAAATCTGAAGTGAGCCCAGTAAAAACCTGATGTGCCCAGCCGACTTACAAACTCATGAGCTAAATATGTGCTTACTGTTTTAGCCCTGAGTTTTAGGATCGATTTTTTATGCACCATTATTGATGCAATAGATAACTGAAACAGAAATTATAAGACCAGAGGTACATATGACTGAGTAGGTATGGAGCTGGGCATTGCCAAAGGCTCTAACCTAATTCCTGTGGAGATAAGAATGTCCAAACTTGCAGAGAAAAAATTTTTTAAACATTTTTAGAGAGGAAGGGAGAGGGAGAGAAAGAAAAACATCGATGTGAGAGTGGAACACCAATTGGTCACCTCTTGCATGCCCCTCACTGGGGATTGAGCCCCCAACCCAGACATGTGCCCTGACTGGGAATCGAACCAGCAACCCTTCAGTGCATAGGATGACACCCAACCAACTAAGCCACACCAACCAGGGCAGGTAATTTTTATAAGAGTTTGAGGGTAGCTTCCAATCAAATGGCAAAGTAGTTAAACACAGTACTGGCATCCTCCTAGGACCACATCAAAATTACAACTGACTATACAACCACCATCATTCAGAATCACCTGAAATCTAGCTGAACAGAAGTCCTATAACTAAGGATATATAGAAGAATCCATGTTGAGACTGGTAGGAGTATCAAAGACACGTAATAGGCTGGTCCCACAGGCATGCGTGACAGTTAAAAATCAGGAGTGAGTTGTCCTAGCCCCACACCAAGCCCCCCAGCCCAGGGTTCTAGTGCAGAGAAAAGAACTCTCCATAACTTCTGGCTATGAAAACCAGAGGAAATTATATGGCTGAGTGAGAGAGCTGCTAGAGTCCTAGGCATTACTCTTAAAGGACCCACACATGGACTTACTTGGACTCACTTGATCTGAGCTCCAGTGCTGAGGTGGCAGCTCAAAAGGTGCCAAGGACATATGGAAGGAACTGAATTATCTAGCTTCAGGGTGAGGGCTGGAGGGGCAACTTTCTCCCAGACTGAAGTGCTGGCAGAGGCCATTGTTCTTATGCTGAGCACCCCACCCTGCCCCGCAGGCACAGCCAGAGGCCATATCTGAGTCTCAATCAACCTGGCTAACACTGTTCACCCAACCCTGGTGATTCCCTGAAACCTGACTACAACCAATTTTCGGGCCCACCCAGCAGCAGTCAGCGGTTTTTCCACACTAATGGCTTGTCTTGGGCATGCTGTAGACTTTCCTAAAATCTCTCAAAGGTTAAAAAACCCAAAACAAGCAGCATCTGGCCTCAGTGTTACTTCATAGCTCTTGCTAAGTGGCCCCAGGCCTGGCACAATTGGCAGTTGGCCTTGGTTCACAGCTTGTCCTCTCTCAGGGAACTCCAAGCCCAGCATAAGTAGCAGCCATCTACAAATCTCTTTGTAGCTGATGTCAGGTGACCCCCCAGCAGGGAAGAGTTGGCAGTTGACCTTGGCCTGCACCTCCTGAGAGGTCCCAGAGGCAGTTCACCCAGTGGCTAACTTAGAACACACCGGAGCACCGTGCAACCATCTCCATGAGTGATACTCAAGGGGTGCCCTTAGTATATAAGAGACGTGCTAAAGTGGCTCTGAGCTCCACAGCTCTGAGAGCCAGCTGCATCCTTTCCCCTGCTGGATGTTTAAGGAGGACCACTTGCTGGAACACAGATGCCTGGAATCCGCGAAGACACAAGCAAAATATCTCGACCGGGTGCCAGTGATTGTGGAAAAAGTCTCAAGCTCTCAGATTGTTGACACTGACAAATGGAAGTATCTAGTTCCATCTGACATCACTGTGGCTCAGTTCATGTGGATCATCAGGAAAAGAATCCAGCTTCCTTCTGAAAAGGCAGTCTTCCTGTTTGTGGATAAGACAGTCCCACAGTCCAGCCTAACTATGGGACAACTTTCCAAGAAGGAAAAAGATGAAGATGGATTCTTGTATGTGGCCTATAGTGGAGAGAACACATTTGGCTTCTGAGGGCCAGTGCTTGGCTAGGTGCACTGTACCTGCTTGTGTATCTTATAAATAGTAGGCCGTTTTCAGTTATTATACCAGAATCTCTTCACATAGACCTATTGGTGCATTTGTAACTGGATTGATTTCTTAATATACTGGAAGATTTTGTTTCCTTAGACTAGTACATTATACAGTTAAAAAAAAGAAAAAAAGAGAACCACTAAAGTGAGTTCTGGACCTGCTAAAGTGAGTTCTGCTCCAAGGGGTCCTCCAGCAGATCCTCCTCTGTGCTCAGAGCCAGTCCTTTGCAGCCCACCCTCCTTCCAATTGACCTGCCAACAGCAATCAAAGGCTCAGCTACAACAGGAGGGTGCACATAGTCCACACCTAGGGGAGGGGGCGCAGCTGGAGTGCCCAGCTCAGGTGACTAGGGTAGCTGTGCCACTGGGCCCTACAGAACACACTACATAAGGTCACCCTACTAAGACTGAGAGACATAACAGCTCTACCTAATGCAAAGAAACAAACACAGAGAGGCAGCCATAATGAGGAGACAAAGAAACATGGCCCAAATGAAAGAACAGGAGAAATCTCTAGGAAAATAACTAAACAAAATGGAGACAAGCAATCTACCAGATGCAGAGATCAAAACATTGGTTATAAAGATTCTCAAGAAACTTAGTGAGAACTTCAATGGCATAAAAAAGGGGCATAGAAAATATAAAAAGGAAGAACACAAGCCCAGACAGTGTGGCTCAGTGACTGAGCATCAACCTATGATCCAGGAGATCTCAGTTCAATTCCCCATCAGGGCACATACCGGGGTTGTGGGTTTGATTCCCAGTGGGGGGCGTGCAGGAGGCAGCCAATCAAAGACTCTCTCATCATTGATGTTTCTATCTCTCTCTCTCCCTCTCCCTTCCCTTCTCTGAAATCAGTAAAGACATATTAATAAAAATAAAAATAAAATAAGGATAGTTTAAGGGAACTATCAAATGTAACAAAATTTGCATCACGGGGATACCAGAAAGAGAAGCAAGAGATCAAAGAACTGAGAACCTATTTGAAGAAATAATGATGAAAACTTCCCTAATCTGGCAAAGGAAATAGACGTACAAGTTCAGGAAGTGCAGAGTCCCAGACAAAATGATCTCAAAAAGGCCTATACCAAGACATACCATAATTAAAATGGCAAAGTTTAAAGACAAAGAGAGAATCTTAAAAGCAGCAAGAGAAAAGCAGTTAGTTACCTACAGGGAAGCTCCCATAAGACTGTCAGCTGATTTCTCAACAGTTTTTGCTGGCCAGAAGAGATTAGCATGAAACATTCAGTGATGAAAAGCACGGACCTACAACCAATACTGCTGTACCTGGAAAGGCTATCATTTAAAATTGAGAGATAAAGAGCTTCCCAGACAAGAAAGAGCTGCCCAGCCGGCATGACTCAGCAGTTGAGCATCAACCTATGATCCAGGAGATCGCAGTTCAATCCCCCGTCAGGGCACACGCCCTGGTTACCGGATGGATCCCCAGCAGGGGACAGCCAATCAATGACTCTCTCATCACTGAGGTTTCTATCTCTCTCTCCCTTTCCCTCCTTTTTCTGAAAGCAATAAAACATATTAAGAAAAAAAAAAAGAAAGAAAAAGCTAAAATAGTTCATCACTGCCAAACCAATATTACAAAAAAATGTTAAAGGGTCTTCTTTAAGAAAAGAAAAAAGAATAAATAATATAAATAATAAAATGGCAATAAATACATGTCTATCAACAATTACTTTAAATGTAAATAATGCATTAAAAGACATAGGGGCCCGGCCGGGCGTGGCTCAGTGGTTAAGCGTTGACCTAGGATCCAGGCGATCAGAGTTCGATTCCCGGTCAGGGCACATGCCCGGGTTGTGGGCTGCAGCCGATCAATGACTCTCTCATCATTGATGTTTCTATCTCTCTCTCTCCCTCTCCCTTCCTCTCTCTGAAATCAATAAAGATATATTTAAAAAAAAAAAAAAAGAATTGAAGTTTAAAAAAAAAGACGACATAGGGTGTTGTTGGGGGAGGGGTGGGTTGAGGTCCAAGAAGATATAGATAGGAAGGATAAATGATGATGGGGAAAAAATAAAGAAAAAAAAAGATGTAGGTGGCTGAATGCATAAAACAAGCCCCTTACATATGCTGTCTACAAGAGACTCAATTCATTTGAAAAGACACACACAGACTGAAAGTAAAGGGATGGTAAAAGGTATTTCATGAAAATAGACATGGGGAAATAAGCTGGGGTAGCATGACTTATACCAGACAAAAAAGACTTCAAAACAAAGGCTATAATAACAAGAGACAGGGAAGAAACCATCAACTCCACTTCTGGGTTTTTATCAAAAGAAACCCAAAACACTAAATTGAAAAAACATGCATCCATATATTCGTGCCATAGCATTGGTTCCAATAGCCAGGATATGGAAGCAACCTGTCTATTAATAGATGAATGGATAAAGAAGTGGTACACATATACAATGGGATATGATGCAGCCACAAAAAGTAATAAAATCTTGCCATGTGCAACAACATAGATAGACCTAGTGGGAATTATGCTAAGTGAAATAAGTCAGACAGAGAAAAACATATACCATATGATTTCCCTTATATGTGGAATCTAAAAAAAAAAAATAAATGAACAAACAAAACAGAAACAGACTCTTAATATAGAGAACATTTTGAAAGTTGCCAGAGAGGTGGGAGTTGGAGGATGGAAGAAAAAGGAAAGAAATTAAGAAGTACAAGTTGAGCACTAGGTGGTTTTTCTCAGTGGTTAAAGAGTATCGGCTCACAGACTGAAGGGTCCCAAGTTCGATTCCAGCCAAGGGCACATACCTCAGTTGGGAGCTCAATCCTCGGCCCTGGTGGGGTCTCATGCAGGAGACAATTGGTCCATGTGTCTCTCTCACATCTCTCTCTCTCTCCCTCTCTCCCTCTCTCTCCCTCTCTCTCTCTCTCTCTCCCCCTTCCACTCTTTCTGAAAAGCAATGGAAAAAATATCCTTAGGTGAAAATTAAAAAAAACATATATATATAAAGTGATAGTTACAGTCCTCAGCTCGGCAGCACATATACTAAGGTTGGAACGATACAGAGAAGATTAGCATGGGGGAAACCCTTTTTGGGACCCCGTGCGCACGCTGAGAGCTTTGCTTTCTTTACACAATAAACCTTTATAGTCTTTTGCTTAAAAAAAAAAAAGATTAGCATCACCCCTGTGCAAGGATGACACCCAAATTCATGAAGCATTAAAAAAAAAAATTGATAGTTACAAAATAGTCACGGGGATGTAAAGTACAGCATAGGGAATATAGTCAATAATATTGTTAAAACTATGTATGGTGTAATATTGTCAAAACAGGTAGGTATTAGATTTATTAGGGTAATCACTTAATAAGTTATATAAATACCTAATCATGGGGTTGTACACCTGAAGCTAATATGTCAACTATAATTGAGAAATAAATTATTTTTTAGAAAAAGAGTGTATTTGAGCCAAAATTGAGACATATGCTGGGGCAATAAGATCTCAAATGCTCCAGCCCTGGCTGCATAGCTCAGTTGATTAGAGCATCATCCTGATACCCCAAGGTTTCAGGTTCGATCCTCATTCAGGAATCAACCAATGCCTGCATGAATGGGTGGTGCAATGAACTGATGTTTGTGTGGGTTTTTTCTCTCTCTCCCCCTTCCTCTCTCTCTAAAAATCAATCAAAAATTAAAAAAAAATCTCAAAAGCTCTAGAGAAGGACAATTTTGCAGTTTCTTTCATGCATTTGAGATTAAGGCGGGACCATAAGGAAGATTAGTGGGAAAAAGCAAGGTGGGGATAGGATTACCTAATAGTTAACAAGATTATGTGTTCTCTCTTCAGTAGTCATGCCTGGAAGAGTATTCTGTTATTTCAAAAGTGTGTTAACCTAGATGCACAAAAACAATGGACTGGGCTGGCTTAAAAATCTTTCACATAGCCCGGCCAGGCATGGCTCAGCAGTTGAGCATCGATCGAGGATCCAGGCGATTGGGGTTTGATTCCCGGTCAGGGTACATGCCTGGGTTGCAGGCTTGATCCCCAGTTGGGGGTGTGCAGGAGGCAGCCGATCAATGACTCTCTCACCATTGATGTTTCTCTCTCTCTCTCTCCCTCCCCTTTCTTCTCTTTGAAATCAATAAAGACATATTTTAAAAAATCTTTCTCATAGGCCTGAGGTATGACTAACCACCAGGACCTGCCCAGTTAGGAGTTAATGATTTATTATAGCACCCCTTTTTCATCTTAGTAAATTTGAAGATCTAATTGGCTTTGCTAAGAGATTCATGAATATGGCAGCATCCCATCTAGCAACTGGAAAGGCACTGGAGAGGTTGTACACATGGTAAGTTTTTTTGTTTTTTTTTTAAATATGTCTTTATTGACTTTAGAGAGAGGAAGGGAGAGGGAGAGAGAGAGAAGCATCAATGATAAGATGGGAATCGAGCCTGTAGCCTGGGCATGTGCCCTGACCGGGAATCGAACTGCGATCTGCTGGATCCTAGGTCGGCGCTCAACCGCTGAGCCACGCCCGGCCGGGCCATGGAAAGTTTTTATAGGCAGAAGAGTGGGGCAAAGGAGCTATTAACAAAAGAAAGGATAAATTTTTTTTTAAGATGCATCTTTTTTTATGTATGTGTCTTTTTTGATTTCAGAGAGAGGAAGGGAGAGGGAGAGAGAGAGATAGAAACAATGATAAGAGAGAGTCGTTGATCAGCTGCCTCCTCTATGCCCCTGACTGGGGATCAAGCCCACACCCCAGGCCTGTGCCCTGAGTGGGAACTGAACAGAGATCTCCTGGATCCTATGTTGACACTCAATTGCTGAGCCATGCCCAGCAGGGCAAAAGGATAATTTTTAGACCAGGACATCTTTTGTAGCAAGGCAATGGTAAGGGTTTTTATCATGTAGATTGCCTTTTCTTTCTATGGGGGTTGGAGGATAAAGAGGCCACATGTAACAGATGACCTAATTTGTGTTGACCAGAAAATTCCAGACTGGTTGATTAAGATTATATTTCTGGGAGACGTTGAAAGAACAATTAAGTCAGGTAGTAAATCTAAGTTTGGTAAGGTTTCTACTTATAAATTATGTGTTATTACTAAACAACTAGATAAGAGAATTTTAGTCTTTTTTTGTTATTTTTTTTACTAGAACTTTCATCTGAAGAAGAGTATGTGTTACAGATATGGATATTTCCCCTCACTTAAATAAATAAAAAGTAAATTAGAAAAAAAGTATATAGGTTT